GTGTCTGATTTGCTTAAGTGTTCCCTGACCTGATTGTCTTCCACCAAGGGCAAGGGTACTCTTCGTCTTCTTTTCCTGTCCTCTCTACACAGTTTGTATCTCTCTATTGCAACACTCCAGTCATGGGAGCCATCCCACTTTGTCTCTGTGATTCCTGGTAAGTTTGTAGGCCTGGTACTGCTCAGAGATCTCTTAAGTTAATTGTATTCATTAGTATAGAGACACTTGAGGGGCACTTCAGCATGGTAAGGGTCATATTCACATAATCCCAATCTCATCAAGGTTAGAAGAGACTTTCAAGATCAGCTAGTCCAACCATCAGCCTAGCACCACCATAATCACCCCTAAACCAAATCCCCAAGTGCCACATCTGCACATCTCTTGAGCACTTCCAGGAACAGTGACTCCACCACCTCCATGGGCAACTTATTCCAATGTTTAACCACACTTTCAGTGGATTTTTTCCAATATCGAATCTGAACCTTGCCTGGTGAACTTCAGGCTGTTTCCTCTCATCCTTTCACTTGAGACATGGCAGAAGAGACTGACCCACACCTCACTACAACCTTCTTTCAGGTAGTTGTAGAGAGCACTGAGGTCCCCCTGAGCCCTCTCTTTTCCAGGCTAAGCAACCCCACTTCCCTCAGCTTCTTCTCCTCATAAGGCATGTTTTCTAGACTCTTCACCAGCTTTATTGCCTGTCTTCGGACATGCTCCAGCACCTCAATGTTCTTTTTTATGTGAGTGGCCCAAAACTGGCTGGAATATTTGAGCTGTGACCTCGCCAGTGTGGAGTACAGGGGGACAATCATTTCCCTGGCCCTGCTGGTCATCACACTATTTTTGATACAGGCCAGGATGTCACTGGCCTTCTTGGCCACCTGGGCACACTGCTGGCTCATGTTCAGCTGGCTGTCAACCAGCACCCCCAAGTCCCTTTCTTCTGAGCAGCTCTCAAGCCACTCTTCCCCCAGACCTGTAGTGCTATATGGGATTCTTGTGACCCAAGTGCAGGACCCAGCGCTTTGCCCTATTGAACGTCATGCAATTGTCCTCAGAAACGTGTCATCACAGCATAGGTAAGGTTTGTGGAAACCTGTGCCAAGCTCAGGAAGTTGATGGGTATTACAGTACCAAGATTGCTGTGGGGGTCATCAAACTCCAGCCCTTGGTATTCTGCTGTCAGTCTTCCCTTACCACACTAGCAGACAAGATGTATTTCTCTATTATGCTTCTGGCCTGTGTGGATTATCTTTAATGCTTTGTTGCTGTTGGCTGATAGGACATTTGAACTGTGCTCTTTTTCATAGGTCTTTGCCAACAAACCTGTGCCAGAGATTTATTTTTAGGACTAAATTAATATCTTTGATTTTTGTGTAATGCTTTTAGCTTCTGATGTAATTAATTGGCTGCTCAAGCATCTGCTGCTACCTAATCAGCTGTTAAATGACAGTTAAATAAACTGATCAGATCTGTGCTCTTTGTAACTATGATTGTGCTGG